AGGTCCCATCCCCCCCCAAAAAACGCCATGCAATTTCCTATATAAACAAGTCTATAGTAAATCCTATATATAAAGTGGGCACACAGGGGGTAGTACAATCCACGTAGCCCCTGCTCAACAGTACCGCAGCCCGCAGCCGCGGTACCGTCCGTAGCAGAGGAGCGAGAGAGCGAGAGCTTGGGGAGAGCGGTCACGATGAGCACAGTCTCCGTGGGGAGGGGACTCCTATCAACAACCCCCTTCGACAAGACGGCTTGGCTAAACCGCGTCTGCCGAGAGCGAGCGGATGGCATGATGGAGTTTGTTTGCCGCTGCGGACACAACTTCGGCGACGGTTCAGGAGTCGACGAGGGCACCGCCTTGCAGCATGAGGCTTCGCACAAGCACGAAGAGTGAGTGTAGAGGAATGAGGATCAGTTTGTGAGATTGCCTTGGTTACATATTAGTATAATCTGCCTCGCAGCAGCAGCAGCAGCAGCAAGAACAACACACCAAGGTTGGACGCACAACAACAAGAGTGCGCGAATGCGGAGCCCTCGCGATGCAACTGCCGTCGTGTTGCACACACCAAACGTTGTTGTACTGCTGCCCGTGCACCTGGCAGCGGCAACTGCGTATGTGTTGTGCTGCATACAATGTAACTGGAAGAAGCAGTAGCGGCAGCCTCAACAGCAGAGGCAGAAGCCGCAGCGGTAGCTGAGCAGCATGACAACTTGTGACAACGTAAACTTGACAACGTTTGAGAAAAAAAAATGCGCGAAATGCAGACCGGCACCACCCACAAGGCTGTGTGCCACGGGGATATTCGTGCCTCTGCAGAACTGGCCTTTACATCGGTGTCCCCTGCCCTTGCCTGCCACTTTCCGCACGCCAATCGCATGCGAGCAGATCGCGTTCGCCTGTTGCGAAAATCGCTCAGAAGAATACTCGTGGCGACTGGGTTTGCACCACGTGCCAGCACTATTTCGGCTCCGGTGAAGGGCTGACCCAGTTTCATGTGAACCAGCACGAGAGGTCGACCGCACACATGTGAGGGCGATGGCGGTCGGTGTCCGCAGTTGCATACTCGAGTAATTTGGACTGCTCACTTTGTGCTTACCAACATTTCAAGACCTCGCAAGACCCGTTACTTTGTCCATCCTCGCTGCACGCATGTCGCGCAAAGTATCAATGCATGCATGCATGCAGCTTTGTCGATGTGTGCGAATGCGTCGCCTACGACGCAACTTGACACAGTATGAACAGTAGAACGATTAGATCATTATTCCGTCTCTCAACGGCGGATCAATCAATCAATATTTACTCACATCCGCAGGCGTGGTGCTGAAGCTAAGCGTCAGAGGAATACAATGCTGAGGTTTTTTAAACCGACGAGCACTACGGGCGGCGGGAAGGGGTCGAGGGACGTGATGGATAGCAGCGGTGGCGCAAGCAGTGACGTTGAGGTGCTCTCGACGGGAGTTGCAGGCGGGCGTGAGGGCGGAACGGGTACGGGTAGCGACGGTGAGGTGGTTGCGACGGGAGTTGTGAACGGGCGTGAGGGTTGTGAGGGCGCGAGCAGCGAAATGGATGGAGCTTTCTCCGACGCTGCACACGAGAGTGGTTCGACCGATATGGTGCGCGCCCAAAACCCCCTCCACTGCGCGGGATTGCGTCCGAATGTTCGGGAGCCTGTTATCCAACACTACCCAGCAGCTTTGCATGGTGTCGTCAAAAAGGGGTTGTCGTGGGAGTCTCGAATAGACACGAATGGCGTGGCTCTTTTCGCCGTGGAATCCGTCTCCCGCGGCATCCTGAGCCCAGGTTGTGCTGGAGTAGTGGAAGAACCAGGAGGCATGTGCGAGCCGTGTGTGGACATCAAGGGCAGTAAGGTTGACAGAGGTGAGACCACGTAGCGAAAAAAAATGCGAAATAGGAAGGCACAACTAGGAAAGCAAGACAACTTAACTGTCGTACCCTCATTCCACCACACATGCACTTTTTTTTTATTGGATTGTTCCCTCTGCACCCCTTCCGTCTTGGAGCAGATCTGGTTCAACGATCATCGTTGGAGCCAGAAGACTCAAGTTTGAAGCACCTTGCTCTAGATTTGTTGACTCCTCACCAGCAACGAGGCAGGCTGACGCGGTGGAAGAAGAAGTTCGAAGTGCAGAAACTGTACACTTTGAACCAACTCAGGAAGTGCGCGGCTTTGCATGGTCGTGTTGCACTCGCGAAGAGTATCTTCATTTACATGGCAGACAACGACGTTCATGGCGTTCGAAGGTTAATGGCTCAAGCGCGGCGAGACGGCTTGTCGCTGAGTGGTATCATGCATAGGTTAGAGCAGGCGGTGAATGACAAGTATAGTGCCAAAGGGTTCAGCGAGGATGAGTTTGACTTGGCAATACTCTCCATGCGGCTTGGAGGACAAACGGCATTGCATGCGTTGCACAAAGCAGCAGGGTTCCCGGGGGCATCGACGGTGTACGCGAAGATCAGGGAGCGTTCGGTGAGCAACAGGGGGTTGGAACGTTGAGGATCACACCAAGAACAAGCAGTAGCCCTTTTAGCCGTTCGCACAAGTTGATTTGCAGTGAGACAAGCTCGGTATTGTGTTGTCTGTTTCTTGTCACGTCCTTTGCTCTGACGCCGAGATCTTGTCTGCCATGCCCTGTGTCCATTTCCACCATTGCAGATGAAGTTTGTCGTGTGCGCCTCGCTTGAGAAGGACTGCCTGGTTGCGGCAATCACCGCCAACCTTGAGCGCTTTTCGCGGCTGTACGATGGCGAAAGGAGAGTGGTCATTCTGGAGATCGACGAGATTGCAACGGAGCCGCGTGCAAGATATTACGGTCTTACGGACGAGGTGCGTATTGGGAGCTTCGTGTTTGTGTTGCGCACGCCATTTTTAAGTCCCACAGGTTGCGAGGCGTCTCGCGTAGACGTTACCCACCGTTTGCAATGCAGCTCTGGATGCGTTTCGTGCTGGCCGAGCAAGTGTTTCCATCAGTCAGATTTTGATTCGTTTCCCACACCACAAATGGTGATTCCCTACAATGTTTGACATCAGATTTTGGGTCTGTGCGTGCAGCACACCCCTCCCAAGAGTACCAAGTTCGACCTTGACAACCTTGAAGACCTTTCCGGCCGGCTCAACGAGGGGCACTCGCATATTGGGAGCGAACACACCGTCATCTCCGCTTGTGCTCTTGGAGATACTCCGCACCACGCGATACCAGTCGTGGCGTTCGCCAGCTGCAAGGCGCGTAACCCAGGACAGCAGCAACTCGTCTTTGAAACGGTCAGACACTGTATCATTGTCTCCCTTGTGGAGGTACCCGGGAAACTGTGCCTCCAGTTAATATGGTTGATGATAACGCGGAAGGTCGAGGCAAGCCGAGGGGTGAGATTCTGTCCATGCCCCCCACCCGTCCACTCAACCATGATATCTACGTTTTATTGAAAGTCGGTGCCGGCCTCGCACGTTGACGTAGATACTGGAAGTGTGGAACGATCGGTTCGCTCCCACCATCGACCCCATCGTGCTCGTGGCTTCAGATGGGGACGGCGTGAGGCGCCGGTTGCTCTACAACTTCACCAGCAGTGTCACGTCCGAGAAGTTCGCTGAGTTCGACCTCCTCGACGCCATGACTAGCGAGTACGGCGTGGTACAGTGCTTCGATCTGAAGCACAACCTGAAGCGGCTTCGCACGAGGGACATTTCGAAGAGAGGGGTGAAGATATCGGCGAGCGCGCTTCCGCTTAACTGTGACAGCTTTCCACAGCTATTTCGGTGGTACGACTGCAAACCGAACGAGACATACAGGACCTTGCTCAACCCGGACGACAGGTACGTAAGTTTGTCGTCGCGTAGAATAGATGGTCTGCTCGGCTCTCTCCCGTCAAGTCTTCGTAGCTGTGCGATAGCCAGCCGCAAAAGGATAGCACAACCACACCGCCGCAGATAGTCACCATCAACTTGCCAGCGAGACTAATAAGTATGTTTTGGTATGCGGTTGGCTGTTCCTATTTTCGTGCGGTATCGTTTTGTTCGTCTCTTAGGCAGAACGTCGGGCTTGCGATGAAGATGGAATCGAAGCAGGTGGAAGTGGCGAACGCCGACCAGGGTCGGCTGAGTGAGTTGGCAACGATGCCCGCCTTGGCCGTGCTACACCGCGATCTGAAGGTGAGAATCCAACCATTTATGTTTCCTTGTTTGGACATGAATGAGCGTTGAAGGCGTCTGCTTCAGGCTGATCGTGCAGATGATTGAAAGCGGGAAGAGGTGTATGTGGGGCTCTCGACGATGGCTCTGCTCGAGCCTCTCACTTTCGTTTCCTGTGCCCAAAATCGTTTCCAAACGCTATTCCCGGCTTAGGTGAAAGCGGTTATTGCCGATAAGCTTCTCGCCGTCTTGTGCGACCCGTCCAAGACCGTGCGAGAGTTTCTGGAAGGGCTCTCGTGCGTCGCGCATTTGCTGCTCATCCTCTACCGTGCTCTCCGGACTGCCACGATGACGGGGCAGCTCTACCATGACTTGCAAGCGACGATTCGTGGCATCTTCTACGTTGTGCTCAAAGTACAGCAGCACTGCAGGGCAACGCCGGTGTTTCTCTGGCAGATTGGCACGGATGCGCTTGAGAACCTTTTCGCAGTGGTGCGAACCCTGATTCACGGCAGCAACATCGACGGGAAGGAACTCGGCGACCGTCTGGGCGCTGCTGTCGCGCTGGAGGAAATCTACGCCAAGCACCCGAGCTGGGCTAGGAAATCTCGGCGCTTGAGCTTGGCCTGCTTGGGCGAGATCGACCACATGAACGTGAGGACTTGGCGGGAGGCCGGACCAGGCGGGGGCTGCGACGTGCGGCAGGTGAAGGTGGTTGGATGCTGGAACGAGGGGTGGAGAAACGCAATTCGTGTTCTGCAGGACCACGAGGAGTACACCGGCGTATCACAGGCCACGTTCGACGACTTCAAGGATAAGGGCATCACCATGTTCTTTCCGTTCGGGTAAGTACTCCCGTACTTCGGTTGGTTATAATTTGGCTCTATTCCGTCCGTCGCCTTCTCGGGCGTAGAGGGTTTTTGGCGGCCAGTTTAGGTTTCGTGAGAAGGTGGAACCACAAATACATGCCGTGTTTCAAGACTTGTTCCAACAACGTCAGCGGTCTACGTTCTGCCTGCTAACAATTGGTGTTTATCAAGGGTCGCGGATACTTGTCACACTGTCCTGAATGCAACTGCCCACCATTCCCGCACCCCCCCCTCCAGAACCAACAAAGAAATGCCTGGCGTGCGGGCCGAAGACGGCACCGACGCATGTGACGAGGAGGAGCGTGTCGTCGGCCAGGCAGCATCGCCAAGTGACGGTGGCGGGGACTCCGACAACGCTGAACTCCGAGAGGTGCTGGACACGGAGGGAGAAGAGTCAAGCTCATCTACCCACAGCCCATTTGTGCAAGTGGGCGCGAAGAAGGTGCGAGGGACTTTTCTTTTCCCAACTTGGCCAAGCAACAAATATTCGCCCAGTGAACACCATGTGACCGCACCACCAACCATCTTGCACACAACGTGTTAAGGCGTGCTTTGTCGATCGACTGAAGCAAATTATGTCTAACGTAGAACTTGGTTGGAATCAACTTGTTGGAATAGTCAATCATGGACCGTTGCAGTACACGCAGCTGCAAGCAAACCTGATCCCGAACTCTATTTTACACGTGCCCTGCTGTTTGCCGGCCACGGCGCGTATCTTTCGGTGTTATTTTTCGTTAATGATAGATCTTCAAGGCCTCCGCGGTTAAAGAGTATACTGGGCCTCACGCCGGCAAGGCCTCCAGAGATCGGCTCGCACGTGTGCGGGCGTTCACGACGCCGGCAGGCGCACGCCTGGCCGAGGGTAGCACTTGCTTGGATGACTCGGGCACAGCGTTGCAGATCGGCTCCCCGTTTGCGGCGCTATTCAGGCTTCGCGCAGGACGTCACCAACCCGTGAGCTACTGTGTCGGGGTTCTAGTCGTATCTGCGCCACCAGCAGCTGGCGGCGAGGCCGCAGATGGTCAGGTGGTCAAAGGGCAGCTAATGAGGATGAGGCTGGTCGGAGGTGACGGCGATGGTTCGACGTTTGAGTGGGAGGACCGAAAGCTGCACACAGCGACTACTTACAGCTGCTCTCTTGCCCTTGTCGAGGAACTGGACCCGACGTTGGAGATGGGCAAGCAGACGTACGTGTTCAGCATGGACGAGTTGATCACCACACAGCACGTGCTTCAAGCTGAAGTGGAAAGGGTACAAGGCTGGGCGGCGGTTCCTGACGTGCGACCACCACCACGCAACCAAGTCACCCCTCTTCCTCTTCATGACAACCTCACTTGCATGGCGGGCGGGGCTCTCGGGGCGGAGGAAGTTCCGGCAGCTTCTGTGGATGTGGGTGGGAAAGTGGAGTGCCCGCTGTGTTTCTTGGAGGTGCCCGCGAAACTGCTGCTGCAGCACATGGGGGGACACATCCTTCAGGATAAGGTAAGACGCTCGCAAGCAAGTGCACTTTGTTTCTGTTTCTGTGAGTTCAAAGGACTGCCAAATATTTCAAGTTGGACATACCTGCAGGAACGATGACAACGTTTTGTTTTGAATGTGTTTCTGTTGATGGTACTGCCGCTCCCACAGGACCGACGGCAGCGCAATACGTGCGGCTTTTGTGGCGGGGACATTGGGGAGAAGTGCAAGACGTGGGTTGTCGAAGCAAAGACGGGGAAGGCTGCGCCTCAGATACACTCCAACTGTTCTCTTGCGCCCAAGTTGGACTCGCGAACAAGTCTCGTTGCTATCGGCCTAAAAGCGGCGTCGAAGTTCACGACTTCTACACCTTGCACTAACGTACCCCTGAAGTGCTTGTTTTGCAGCCCTGAAAAGTGGGTGTGGAAGTACTCCATGTCCCACCACGTAGACCAGGAGCATGCCACTTCGTTGGAGCTGAGCAAAACAGATCCGAACACTGCGAAGTTCACGAAGAGTTTTGCCGTAGGCGAGGCTGAGAAGGCGGCGGTGGTGGGAAAGATACAGGGCAAGGGTACGGCTGTCAGAGCCCCCGTCACACGCCGCAAGGACCCACAACAGAAGAGTACGGCTGGCAAAGCCCCCGTAGCACGCCGTAAGGTCTCGCCGGGGGCGGAGGGGGTTGATGGTACAGACGGGTCACTCTCAGACGAGTCCTCAGTGGAGACGGGGGACTCGGTTGAAGATGAGAGCTCGGGGTCGGAAGAGGAGGAGGAGGAGGAGGAGGAGGAGGAGGAGGGGGAGGAGGAGGAGGAGGAGGAGGGGGAGGAGGAGGAGGAGGAGGAGGAGGATGGGGTGGGGGTGAGGGGGGAAGAGGATGAAGGGCGAAGGCGCTCAACGCGAAAGCGCTCGAAGAAACGGCGGTTTAGTCTTGTTGAGGGAGGGGGAGGGGCTTCGGGGAGTGAATAATAAGTACCATGCAAGACAAATTGCTATTATTTGTGGATGGGTGTTGCACGTGGCGAAGGTGATTCCACCGCCGTAGGCTCATCGACAGCCCCTCTTCGGTATGTTGCCGGCTTGACTAAGCTTGGAATGATGACGGTTCGACGCATGGGTATGTGTCATTTGGTTGTGTCATTTCGCTACATTCGACCGAGGCCAAACGTCGTGGACTTGTCGCAGAGGCTAGAGAAGTTCTAAGCTACTTGTAGCTGAGGGGTTGTCCCCAAGCACTACTGCTGTACTTCAAGACTTGAAAACCAAATAAGAGTGTCCCCAGCCCACCACAGCTTATTTCAGTACATGACGTGGCAATCTACACCTACCTTCCTAGTAACAAGGTCCTCCTTGCACGTCGTGCCGTGAACACCACCACACGCAAGCACACGCAATGGAGAAGGAGAAAGCCAAAAGAAAGCCTGTAAGAAAATATTCAAAAAAAAAAAACTTTTTTTACACCCCTCCCGGGGGGGGGGGGGGGGGTAGGGTTAGGTGTCGGAATTTTTTTTTTTTGTGCACCCCTTGAGGAACTAGGAATAGCAGTGCAAAAAGGTACCGCCACAAATACAAAACTGCACGGATTGAACCAAACTAGATAACTAGCGACACGACCCGGGAAAGCGTGATGCTTCATTTACTCACTGGATTTTGCCATCGAGGGTCGTTTGGCCAGCGGGCACGCCGGTCGGAGACGGCTTCTTGAAACCCTGCGCGGCTGCAAGCTTCGTTGCGTGCCCCTCTTTGTCCACCACATTTGGCGAGCTGTAGTGAGCTACAAGGTTCGATGTATTGCCCTGCGGCGTCGAAACCACTTGTTCGCATACAGAACACACGGGCCGCTGTTGCGGGTCCACCAGGAATAGGCCCCCCTTCCACACGAAAGATCGCCCTCCCGTCTTCTTCTTGCATGTTTTGAGGTCGACGACGGTGGGGCTGTCGGTGCCGGCGGCAGGGACCGCGTCATTGTTCGCGGCAGAGGCGGCCGCCCCGCCGAACGTGCTACTCATGCCACCGCAGGGCAGCAGAAACAAGTTGTGTACTGTGTAAGGCTACTGCTGTGTGTGCGCGCGTGAGTACGATGTGTTTAGCTAGTTGTGTTCCTGCAGCGCAGACCACAAGGCAGCGCAGGCACGCAGGCACGCCGCGGGGGTTTCGTGTGTAAGTTCTGCATACCAGGGGGTTCCGTGGGTGGTTTTATCGAATTATCGTATCGTATCGAAATATCGTATCGTATCGTAAGGCCCTAAACCCAGCGATACGATAGACGATACGATAGTACGATACGATATATCGAATTTTTCGATACGATATCCAACACTATTTGCCAGGTGTATTTTGAATTCGCAGGGTGTGCGAGGATATCATTTCGTGTACGGCGAACTGCGAAAAAATTCAGGGTATTCATCGGGAATTTTCCCGGAGTGTTTTACCGCCCATGATAGGCGGATCCGGTAATTGGCGGGATACCGCCGAAATTCGCGTTACCGCATACCGCCGAAGGCGGTACCGCCGAAAAAGCAGATAGATACCGCCTACCGCCAAAAAACTACCGCCGTATTTCGAACCGCCTTAAGACTACCGCCATTTTACG